TTACCGAATGTGTTTTTAACTGTCCAGCTACTTTAGGCTGGTTTTGTTCCACTCTATCTTCAAAGCTACCTCCAACAGTTGCCACTTTTTAATCTCCACGTGGTTATTTACATCCTGCACAATTTACCTACTATCCCTGCTTTAATGGGCGCATTGGTTTTCTATCTCCATTGTCTTAGATGTTAAATGCACTCGGCAAGGAAGAAAATATCAAACAGAAAAGAAAGCAGTAAAGCAATAAAAGCTTTGAAACATCATCTTAAGAAAGAAAAATGGATAGATTATTAAATATACTGACAATTCAGGGTTACGTTGAGGCACTAATGACAAAACTAAATCAGAACCATTCATGCTCGAATTAGATGTATTTTAATGTCAGATCAGTTGAGACAAACCAAGAAAATTGATTTAACGTTCTTGGATCCTATGACCAATATAGCATTTTCAAACAAAACACTTTCACAAGAGTCCAAATCTAAGCACAATTTCACAAAGCTTGAAAAAAACCAGTGATTGTAACTAGCTTTACGCTGTAATCATATTTGGTACATGATACTATCCCAAATATTTTGAAAATCTATTCAACAATATTTTGTACTATAGTGATTGTTGGACATCATACTATTAATTTAAATCATAGATATTTTCAAAGTTTTTTTTTGTCTAGAAAACAGAGATCATCTATGAGTAAGCTTATGCTTAAATAAATAAGGCTCTTGTAGTGCAGTGGTGGTATCCTATCTCTGAGCCAGGAAACTGGGGTACAAGTCTTACCTGCTCCAGAGGTGTGTAATAACATCTCTGAACAGGTGGATGAGAAAATGTCCACACACGAGTAGACAAATTATACAACTTTTTCTGAAAATAGTTTTTTGATGATTAGAAACGATAAACAAACATTATATACAAGTTGGTCTGTCCAGATTTAATTCAAATTGACAACTCATGTTCAATAATAATTACGCACTTACCACAGTTGCGTTCTCCATCTCCCAATTGAACTCGAATGAAGTTCTCCATCCAGAATGGATCACAGAGACAACGTTTATTGAAAGAATCACACCGACCATGGTCTGAACAATTCAACTGACAGACTTTAATCAGGAGATGGAAGAGAGGTGAAGGGAGGGGAGTAAAGCAAATCAGTAATGTTAGCTTAAAATCATGCTTTTTAACTCTAATATCTAGCATCAAGAAAAGAGTTTCTTGTTATAGATACTATACCATCATTAGCATTGATGTGCATGCAAGCTTGTGAAATTTTTTAAGAAAGTAACAGAGTATACCAATCCAACACATTCTAACTTTCCTTTTAAGAAAAGAAAGAGTGTGGTACACGTCAAGTACTAGTTGCTTTGTAGACTTCTGTTGAAAGAAAAATATGGAGGAGCCTTACACTTGCTACAGAGCCGGGACCATGTGCAGATATGAGACTGTCCCAGAGTATATGCTAGTACTAGTATTAATAGAAATAGAATCTGCCCTCCTTGCTTTAGTATATCCACAATACTTTTACCCAATATTTGACTGTAATAGGTTGCTTCTTGAATTAAAATAGGCAGTTGACAAAACAAATTTTGAGGCATGTGATTTGATCCGCTGCATTAAAACCTCATTCGAGTGCATAATTCCTGAATGCATGTGTGAAATGAGCTTGGATAAAAATAAATCAAATTAAAAGTCAGAAATTCTAAGTAGTGAAGCAAATACAATTCCACTGTGCTTCACACAAACATTGGTGGATAATTCAATGAAATTTTTAAAAGTAGGACGACAGTTTTAATTTTGTTTTCTCCTTATTTCAACCTTATATGAGGAAAATGTTTTGACTTGAGCACATAATGAGGATAGATTTGCTTCACTACCAATAATAATGCAACAGCCATACAGATGTCAGGGAAGGGAACTCAGCATTTTTGCAAAGCATCAAGGACAAGATTTGAGGCATTCAGTAGAAACAATCGTTTGACATTTGGTTGCCTCCTCCAGTCAAGGGATTAAAAAATAAAATGGAATAAGAATGCACTTTATCAGAGGAGGTAGTGTTGAACTATTTTCATTCGCTGATCCTAGGTTTTGCCCTAGTTAGTGCTGGCTGTTTCATTAAACCTCTATATTAAAGCTCTCCATATAGAAAATATAATGGCTACCAATCTGTTCTCTATTCTTTGATCTTCTCTATAAAGTATTGAAGTATAACAAGCAACAAAAAGCCAGAAGTTCATAATTCATTCCTAGATTAAAAACTGACACAGTGTTCAGGAATAGTTCAAGAATAATTCATTGGAAAAGCATATTCGGCACCCACAAATGGTAATAAAAATACCATATTCATTTCCAGTCTCTAAGATCTTGGGATCAGAGTTTATTTTCTATCTAAATTAAGCTAAAAGGGAAAATAAAAGAATCACCAGCTTTTTGACCAGGAAGTTTAATCAAAGGGATAGATTTTCAGTAATCTCTCAAAGACAGCCAGGTGGAGAAGTGAAAAAGAGTAGGAGGAGATTCTAGAGATGTTTTGGGTGAGTGAAGATGAGACTGCCAGTGGCGTAGGAACTAAAAAAGAAAAAAATCCTCAAGTGGCCTGAATTATAGCTGTGTAGATACCTTGGAAGATTGTAAAGCTTGAGGAGCGTAGATAGATAGGGAAAACTAAACTATGGAGTGATTTGAAAATAAGGATGAGATTTCAACATCAAGACTTTGCTTGACCTGTAGCCAGTATAGGTCTGTGAACACTGGGGCAATAATTTGAAAGCATTCTCAACTCTGTACAATCAAACCAAATCCTGCTGGGTCAAATCTATACAAAAGATTTTAATAAATAATGCTCACTCACTGACTGTATTGACTTGGAGAGCCCGGAAAACTAGGAAGTCTGATTTCTGCTTCCGAAATTTATTCTTCAGTATCCGAGCAACATCCTGGCCCCTCAACACCTGATGAGCTTGTGTATTCCTCACACAAAAGATAATCTGTGTACTGTGAAAGCAAATGAGAGGAAGTACAATTCAAAAACACTTGTGACCCATAATTAGCAGTTACAGACCAGCCAAGCTTTACACAATTTTCTCACATTACCTTTAAAGTAAAGAAATCATTCGAGTTTTTTTGCAAGTCAGTAAATATTTGGATAAAGACTTAGTTATATGCAAGTTCTCAACATTCTACTGTTGCTACTTAATGCAAAATTGAGAATTATTTTCTCAGCAGTCACCTCCAGTAATGTTCATCCTTGCAAACACACAAAAAGCTCCTCACCTCTGTTCGGTGTAAGGTTGAATTTTTTGCACAGTAATGTCCGAATCAAGGACTCCAAGGAGGACAGCTATTTGCCTAAGTAACATGCCCTTTTGTCTCTCAGTTAACCGGCTGACACTGACATCCAGGATAATTTCTACAAGATCATTCTTTTGGGGATCTGAAAAGAAAATAGTGTCAAAGCTGTTAACTTCAGCTGTCAAATCTTTTAAGGTCCTTGACTTTTATGAACATTCACTTAACTCAATCCTACGTACAATGTTCCATGCAGCAAAACAGTAGACTTGAATGAATTCATCTAGATCTAGGGCACCGTCATGCTTCTGAAATTGTGCAGCCAACGGTTGTAAAAATACATAACATTAAAAACAGCAGTTTCATTATCATACAATACATGATAATGAAACATGTATAAACGGTTTTTATGAGTGAATCAAGACATCCATATTTTGAAAAAAAGAAACCGCCTTGAATTCCTATCTCATACTTTTCAAGCAAAGGACAACTGTGAACCTCCCTTAAGTAGAGTGTAAACAATATTGTATAGTTCAGATTATCAGATTAAATCGGAATGAGATGTTGAATCAAGTTAAAATCCAAGATATCAGGATTTGGAAACTAAATTATTAACAATCCTTCTAGATTAACACCCAATCTTACAGACCCAATATTATTGAAAAAGAATGCACCAGAAGTACAAACACATGTGACACAATTAGTGCATACAGTGGAAAGCAGACATTAGCACATACAAGTGAAAGAAATGACTTACCTAGTCAGCAAATGGGCACACAAACTTAAGGTAGAAATTAGCTGAAATACAAGTGACTTTGGTGCCTGAAACTGTCCTGGATATGGCAACAATGAAAACCCATTTCAATCAACTGGCAGATTAAGCGCTTCAGCACATTCACATTTGGTTTCCAGGCTCAGATTTTCTTTACATAACAATTTCACTTGAATTGTAAAGACTGCATTTGTATAAATGAGACATCTCCAGGAATGAAAGCTCAAGAGCCCTCCAGCAAAATAAAGCTGAAGCATGTCCAATTTTCTGGCTTGTCAATTTCATCACGTTTGGGTGTAAAATGGGTCCACTTTGATTCTTGTGCATGTTTTTGCTTTCTATCATTAGCAACTTGGATTTGTTGATTTGACTGTCATCTCTGGATCAGTTAGCTTGGGTTTTAACAATACAGTGAAATTTGAAAGCATCATCTAACTGAAAGTGAACTGTGGTATGCAGACATTCTAGATTGTTGAAGGTGCCATGTTTTGAATGGAATGGAATTGAATGGAATCCAACAAAGCAGACAGACAGGATAAGTGGATATTAAAAGTCCCAGGATGCTTCTTGAAGACTAGCAAGGAAGTGTCCTCCAACACTAATGACATTTTCCCCCTACAACCAAGCCCAGAAACATCAGAACAACTGATGATTCAACCTCCGTTTGCAGGATGTTGCTGACTTACAATAATTTTGAGATGTTCTATAATTGCAAATATTAGTCATTATTTCAAAGCACACTTCAGAAACAAGTGTTGCTAATTTATATCCTCGTAGAAATATGTTGGCTCAATGACAATGTTAAAAAAAGAGTTAAAATATTACACTAGATCTCAAAATAAATGAATTATGAAGGGACACCACACTTCTCCGACAGAAAATATAGCTGGTACTCGATTTTGGCAGTTATTCCTTGTTTAAAAAAAAACGTTATGCCAGATTTTTGACTAAACACAGCAGGCCATTGGAAGATCAATTTCTACTCACCAGGTCTGACTTCCAGTGTTGCCCTGTCGATATGATTTTCTCCTTTTGCATCAGTTACTTTGAGACAAAATGTATATAGTCCTTCAACCAAATTGGACAGGAAAAGCACAGGCTGGTGATCAGTGTTATTTAGCACATCCTATTACAGATTAGTAGAAAATGCAAAAGATAAGAGAAATGAACTTTTAAGGGCAATTTTTTCAAAGAATCGCAAGTGTACAATCCACTTTCCAATATGCCGATGCATATCAAACATCATACTACAGTTAAACAACAATCTAGTCATAAACCTCTAATTGCTCATTATAATGAAAAATTCAACATTTGTAATATATTTCTGGTCATGGTACAGAAACATTGCTATATTATCCAATTATAGGAGGAAATAAATAATTGATAAACTGCTTGAATTCTTTCTCATTTTCCAATACTGCTCTCATTACAATTATCAGAGCATGACATTCCTGCATCAGACTCTTAAACTAAACACTATTGACTGATACTATTGAATGTTTGGCTGCTTTGTGCATATTTACAACTGGTAATGATCATAAGTGTGTGTCCTTGGTCAAAGCAATGGTGAATAGCAATATGTAAAACATCACATCATGATAACAATGAAAAACAAAAACTAACAAAAATGTGATTTCATATAAAATATAATGCTTTAATTAGGCACTTTGTATTACCATGGTATTTCTATGTGATTTACCTATTCCGGAGAAACCCTGACCTCAACATAAATCTTAGACACCAATCCCCATGACTCAAATATGCTACTCAAATCAAGCACTCAGTGCAGTCCAGATACAGATTTAAAATTAAAAGCTGCTTGCCAAATCTCCGAAAGCTTGGGAAGCATTACAGTGAAACAGCAGATCTTTGCTTTTTAAAAGACTGCCTTGAGGGCAATGAGGCAGTGTGTCCCCTTCCCCTTCCCTGTACTCCTCCACCCCACCCCACCCTTTTCTGATGGTTCTCACACTCACTACCACCACATCCCTTTCCAGCACTGTGCCTGATCGAGCTGCCTGCCAGGCTTTCAGTGCTGCTGTCTCTACAAGCTCTGTTCCAGAGACTTCCCTCCCAGCCCCAGCGCTCCCCTCCAAAGACAATTTGCTTCCGATTGCCAGAGACTGTCTCAGGCTTCAGCTCTGTGGTGCTGGCTTTCCTGCTCACAATAAAACAACTTATCAAACTGATGAAGTGTAAAACAGGAAGCAGAAAATGTTAATCAGGTCCTGTCACTGATACTGTCAGGACCTCCACACCCTTAAACTTGCTTTGGATCCGCGCTACATCTCTCTTCCCATGCCACCATCTCCATACTCACTCGCACAATGACATGTATCATATTTGCTCCAGTCGATAAACAGTTGGACCCTTGTGTATCTCGGCACTCAATAAACAATGCCTCCGGGAACTGGTACAGTATTTTTCTAATTTGTTTAAAATATGAATTAAACCACTTACTCCAGCTGCTGGACTGCTTTCATCTCTCGTCCAAAGGTAGCTGACAATTCCCTTATCATCTGATGATTTTGATCCATCAAGCATAGCTGTGTTATTAGGGAGGGTGATCACAACATTCCTTGTTATCTTAGCAACTGGAGCCTTATTGACTTCTGTAAAACAGAAACACATTTATTCTTCATTCCAGAGATCTCACAAAATATTAAAATTCTAATTTGATACACGAATTACATTTGAAGTGCAGTCAGAAAACCTCTTGCAACACAAATAGCAACGTCTCTAGTTTCTTTGATTATGCATTCAAAGTCTTGTCTTCTGATATAAACTGAATTTAAAATCAATCACCTCCATCTATCAGGACTGTGCATGTTGGGGCCCTTGTTCTTGTTCAATAACAACAAAATCTGACTTTAATTAAAATACAGTGGTCCATTTACTGACCAACAAATTGATCACACGTTAGTAAGTTTAATTTAGACAAATGTGTGGTGCTGCATTTTGGAAAGGCAAATCAGGACAGGACTTATACACTTAAATGGTAAGGTCCTGAGGAGTGCTGCTGAACAAAGAGACCTTGGAGTGCAGGTTCATAGTCCATTGAAAGTGGAGTCACAGGTAGACAGAATAGTGAAGAAGGCATTTGGTATGCTTGTTTTTATTGGTCAGCGCATGGAGTATAGCAGTTGGAGAGGTCATGTTTTTTGCTATACAGGACATTGGTTCAGCCACTTTTGGAATACTGTGTGCAATTCTGGTCTCCCTGCTATAGGAAGGATGTTGTGAAACTAGAAAGGATTCAGAAAAGATTTACGAGGATGTTGCCAGGGTCGGAGGGTTTGTACTATAGGGAGAGGCTGAATAGGCTGGGGCTATCTTTCCTGGAGCGTCGGAGACTGAGCGGTGACCTTATAGAAGGTTATAAAATCAGGAGGGGCATGGATAGGGTAAATAGGCGAGGTCTTTTCCCCAGAGTGGGGGAGTCCAAAACTAGAGGGCATAGGTTTAAGGGGAGAAGGGAAAGATATAAAACGGACCTAAGGGGCAACTTTTTCACACAGAGGGTGGTGATTGTATGGAGCTGCCTGAGGAAGAGGAGGCTGGTATGATTACAATATTTAAAAGGCATCGAGATGGGTACGTGAATAGGAAGGGTTCAGAGGAATATGTGCCAAACTCACAAATGGAACTAGAATTACATAGGATATCTGGTCAGCATGGATGAGTTGGAGCAAAGGGGCTTCTTCCGTGCTGTATATCTCTATGACTCTAAGTGTTAGTTAAGCAAATTTTAAAGTCTGAAACATTTTAATTTCTTTGGAATTACTGTCTGGTCAGAGAGTAAGTCACTGGTTCATTGTTAAGTGCTGTGGAATATCATGGGCTGCTAGAGCTTACTTGCCTGCCAGTTTTATCTGAATTTCTTTATTGTTTTGCTTCTTCTTTAGACATTGTGTGGGGTAGTGGGTGAGTTACACTGAATTTGCAGTTATCTGGATGGACTACATTCAAATCTTTTCTATTATTTGTATCATTAATTACCAAACAAAATTATAATATAGGTCAATACTATGGATTTTATTTACACTTGACAGAAATGTTGGTGGTGAACCTATATTTTTATCTAGGAACTCTGGAAATATCATGCAGTAGCAGAAAGGATGGCAGACTACATGTGCCCAATGTGAACCACTCTCTGGCAGATCTGCCACATGTACCAGGTGAATTACTCTCTTCTGGCTGTGAAATTTGAGAGATGCAGTAGCTTTGAACCTGATACTTTTGATAAGGTCCAATATAAGATGTTAGCATGCAAACTTCAAGTGCATGGGATCAAACAAAGAACAATACAGCACAGGAACAGGCCCTCGGCCTGCAAGCCTGCACCGACATATTTTGCCCTTCCATATTAAAACTGACTTCACTTACAGGATTCATATCCCTCTACTGCCTTCCTATTCATGTTATCTGTCCAGGAACTTCTTGAATGCTGCTACTGTGTCTGCTTCCACCACCTCCTCTGGCAATGCGTTCCAGGCACTCACCACCCTTTGTGTGAAAAACGTCCCTCGCACATCTCTTTTAAACTCCACACCCCCCCACTCCCTCCAGCATCTTGAATCTGTGTCCCCTAGCAATTGACTTCTCCACCCTTGGAAAAAGCCTCATACTTTCCACTCTATCCATACCATTCACAATCTTATACACTTCTATCAGGGCACCACTTAACCTCCTGCATTCCAGTGAAAGCAAACCCAGTCTAGCCAATGTTCTATCACAGCTATAACCCCCATACCAAGCAAAATCCTGGTAAACCTTTTCTGTACCCTCTCCAAAGCATCCACATCCTTCTGGTAGTGTGATGACCAGAATTGTATGCAATATTTCAAGAGTGGCCTAACTAAAGTTCTGTAAAGCTGCATCATAATTTGTCTATCCTTACGCTCAATACCCCTTCCAATGAAGGCAAGCATGCCATAGGTCTTTTTTATTACCTTACCTACTTGCGCTGCCACCTTCAGTGAACTGTGGACCTGCACACCCAGATCCTTCTGCATATCAATACTCCTAAGGGTTCTACCATTCACTGTATAATTTCCACCTGTACTTGACCTTCCAAAATGCATCACCTCACATCTGTCTGCATTAAATTCCATCTGCCATTTTTCTGCCCATGCCTCCAACTTATCTATATCCTGCTGTATTCTCTGACAATCCTCCTCACAGTCCGCAACTCGTCCAATCTTTGTATCATCTACTAATTAGATCAGCTATGCTTTCCTCCAAATCATTTATGATGATCGTGAACAGCAGAGGTCCCAGCACTGATCCCTGCGGAACACTAGTCACAACGTTCCATTCTGAAAATTACCCTTCCACCGCTACTTTCTGTCTCCTATGACTATGACAGTTCTGTATCAACCTTGCCAGCTCACCCTGATACCATGTGATTTCACCTTTTATACCAATCTACCATGAGGGACCTTGTCAAAGGCTTTACTGAAGTCCACGTAGACAACATCACCCACTTTTCCCGCAATCATCTTCGTAACCTCCTCAAAAAACTCAATCAAGTTAGTAGGGCACAACCTCACTCGCACAAAACCATGCTGTCTATCGCTAATATGTCCATTTGCTTCTAAATGCATATAGATCTTGTCCCTGAGAATCTTTTCCAATAATTGCCCTACCACCGAAGTGAGGCTCAAAGGCCTGTAATTTCCATGATTATCCCTGTTACCCTTCTTAAATAATGGGATAGGGGTGGCTATTCTCCAGTCCTCTGCGACCTCACCTGTGGCCAAAGAGGATACCAAGAGGTCTGTCAATGCTGCAGCAATTTGTTCTCTTGCTGATCCTATCAGGTTCCAGGGACTTAGCTACCTTAATACTTTTTAAGATGCACAACACCTCTTCCTTTTCACTAGCAACTTGGCTTAGAAATCCAACACTCCCTTCCCTGAGATCATCCACAAGACAGCAGGTGATTTGAATGGCAATAGATTGGGAAAGGGGGTGGTACAACAAGACCTGGGTTTCCTTGTACACCATTTGCTGAAAGTAAACAAATAGTAAGTTGTTGAGGATGGTTGGCTCGCCGAGCTGGTTTGTTATTCCGCAGATGTTTCGTTACCATGCTGGGTAACATCCTCAGTGCAGCCTCCGATGAAGCATTGGTGTGTTTTCCCGCCTGGTTTTTAAACTCTGGAATCCGTTGAGCTGGATTGCCTCACTTCCGGTTTTCCTTCGTAGTGGAGTGTATATGGGGTCGAGTTCTATGTGTGTTTATTAATGGCTTTCTTCGTGGAGTGCCAGGCTTCTAGGAATTCCCGTGCCTGTCTCTGCTTAGCTTGTCCCAGAATTTTGGTGTTGTCCCAGTCGAATTGGTGGTTCTCCTTATCTATGTGGATTGAGACGAGTGAGTATTGGTCATGTCTTTTTGTAGCCAGTTGGTGTTCGTGTACCCTTGTAAGTTGGTCTTCATAGCAAGAGGATTCAATTAAAGGAGCAATTGCTGCAATTACACAGGGCATTGGTGAGAGCACACGTGGAGTATTGTGTGCAGTTCTTCTGAGGAAAGATGTTCTGGCCATGGAGGGAATGCAGCAAAGAGTTACCAGATTGATTACTGGGATGGCAGAACTGATGCATGAAGAGAGGTTGGATAGGTTAGAGCTATATTCATTGGAGTTCAGAAGAATGAGGGAGGACCTCATAAATATCGACAAAACTCTAACAGAACTACATAAGGTAAACACAGGAAGGATCTACCCATTAGCTAGGAAGTTCAGAACCAGGGGTCATAGTTTAACAATATGGGTTAGGCCACTAAGTCTGATATGAGGAGAAATATTTTCACCGAGGGTGGAGAGCACGTGGAATTCCCTGCTACAGAAAGCAGTTAAGACAAAACACTGAATGCTATTCAAGAAGGAGTAAGATGTAGTTCTTAGGGCTAAAGGGTAGAGGGAGAAAGTAGGAACAGGGTACTGGAGCTGGATGATCAGCCATGATCATATTGAATGGTTTAGCAGGTTCACGGGCTGAATGGCCTAACTCTTGCTCCTATTTTCTAAGTTTTTATGTCTATTGGACAACGTTTGATGTTGCAATGCCTCAAATGAAGATCTTAGCAAAACAGGATAACCCTTCACATTTAAACCTTCGTTTCCTACACAGTAATAATCAAACTAACATTATCTGAAAGCTACTTTCAATATTTCCTATTCTGTAAATGAAACGTTCTGTAAAATGGTGTAAACTAGAACCAATTAATCCAAACGTTGGATTACGTTATCATTGGAGTACTTAAATTCAGGCTCAAATATGACTTTAAACTGTGTTGTTCCGTGACTTTCTGAATTTTTGTCATGATTATCATCAACCAGAAATTTTATCAACCAAATAATCAAGTCCTGCACTACTCGAAAATGCCTTGTCCTTTAATGTACTCTGCTAAAAACATGAAAAATGTCCTTAACAGAACAGATAAAAGCATTTGAAAAAGAGTATACTTTTAAAGGTGACTATTAGCATCATTACTTTGACCTGGTATCTTTCTCCACTTTAGCAGGTGACTTACAGCTATTGCCATCCTTTACAAATCTGAAGGGAAAACATACCCTCTCTCACAATTATTCTAACAGAATCGTGGCTTTCCAGGTTTCGTTCATCCTTCACTGTCAGTGTAATCTCATATGACCCAACCTGAAGACCTGTTACTGTGGCAATCGCGCTGTCTGCATTCTCGATTTTCACACCGTCAGGGCCACTGAAATACAAAACCAAGCAGTCAATTTCACTTTATGTTTGTGTTAACAGGAGGCAACTACAATTATCCACCAACTTTTCCAGCTGCTGCCAAAGGACCTAAAAGAGTTAAAAAAAATCCTTTGAAAGCAAATTGTTTGGACAAAATGTCAGAATCTAGGTCATTCCTAAATTAAAAGTTTCTGGTTTTTTTGTCATTTTAACCAATACACAAAACTTAAATTGCTAATGCAATAATCAACAAAAATAATCACTGATTGTTACAAAGCTTATCTGAGACCAAGTATTTTAACTTTACCAATTTAAGCATTGTCAATTTATTTAACATTTTGAACAAGGTTGGTTAATTATTTAAACAGGGATAGTGGTTACGAAACTTATCCATAAACACTTGTGGCCAGGCAGAGCGGTGTGCATGTGGTGCTAATCGCTGAGGCCTGTACCTTCAGGGGGACTTGGACTCAGACAGCACTGCCCTCTGTGACCAATCAAAACAAGTTCATCCTTGCACCTGGGAGACTCAGAAGTTGTGAGGAGCTGCCCCTCCAATCAAAATTCTGTCCCTCATACACCATCAATCACACATTGCTCCCTGCCCACACTTTTTGCTGATAGTCACATTCGGCAACAACCAATGCATTTTTAATTCTGGACAATAGAAGGTTGAGTAGACTTCGTAGAAACTACATAAGATAAGCTATTTACCAGAAGCACTCCAAGGATGAAGGACTTCAGAGAAGCTGAAACTGTCCTCCTTAAAACCAAGAAGCCAGAAGAGATTTGACACAAGTGCATAAAATTACAAAGGGTTTAGACAGAATAAATCAAAACTATTTGTAATGGCTAAAAGGATTGATCCAGATTTTGACTTTGTAAGTTGATTGAGAAAAGTACCAGCAGACAACAAGAGGAAATTCTTTCACACAAAGAATGGTTAGGATTTGGAAGGCACTCCTTCCATCATATTGTGAAGAATGCACATTCAAATTAATGTTCCAAAGGGAAAACTGATAAATGCTTCAACAAAAATAAGGAAAACAGGTGGGAGAGCACATGGCAAAGATGGCAGGACTGGCTGGATTACTCTAGGAAAGAACTGGTGCACACTTGATGACAAGCCTTTGTGCTACACTATCCTATAGGACACAAAGAGCAGCACAAAGGTGCTTGATGGAATCTGTCAAGGGTTAAAGGAGATGAGATATAGAGGAGACCCAGAAACAGAAGCAGCACCAGGGCACCTGATGTCTCTAACTGGCCCGGCTTGGGGCCACAAACAGCACTTTTGGCTTGGGCATACTGCCTGTTTTATTCTTGATGTGTTACCTGACCTGTACATAAGAGGTATGGTGCGGGTATGCACGCGGCCCAGAAAATCTGATAGTGTAATCGAAGAGACAACCCAAGACAAATCGAGAGCAACCATATGTAATGCTTTGGACAAAACAAAAGGTCCCAAAAGGAAGAAAGCAAAAATCACATTTAAAGGCCAATTTTAGTCATGGTTTGAAGCAAAGAGGGAAATTGTTCCACTTAACAACTCCACTAAACACAGATCCCTGCCTCATTATAACCACAGGGTGGCACACTGATTTTCCAGATCTGTTAAGATGTACACTGCTGGTATTGATTTTACAGGTACAAGCCACCTTAAGTAAATGGATCATCCGATCACTAGGATATGACATAGGGCCTGAATGTTTGCACGCAGATTCATTCAAAGATCACTGCCATGCGCAAGGTGAATAATGTGAGTGGGCCTATCAGATTTCCAAGCTTTATGAATAAAGCAAAGATTTTAGCCATCTTTTTTCTTTATTCGTTCATGGGATATGGGCGTCACTGGCTCGGCAGCATTTGTTGGCAATTAAGAATCAACCACATTGCCGTGGGTCTGCAGTCACAGTTTCCTTCCCTAAAGGTGGAACCATAGGAGCTTTTTCCAACAATTGGCAATGGATTCCTGATCATTATTACAGTCTTAATTCCAGTTTTTTTCTTGAATTCAAATTCTTCCATCTGCCATTGCAGGATTCGAACCCGGGTGCCCAGAACATTACCTGGGTGTCTGGATTAACAGTCCAGCAATAATACCACTAGGCCATTGCCTCCCTGCAATATCACAGGCTTTGTTCACCAGCTAGCCTTCGGAAAACAGACCATGTTGCAATAATTACCCCTATTGCAGATGGGCAACAAATGGAAGCCAAACATACCTTGATAGGAAAATGGTGGACCAGATATTCCGGCTAGAGAATCACTTGTGACAATACTATGGATTTAAAAGGTGTATTTTGTTCTTTTTTTTCAAAGAAAGGTTGAGACAGAGGTGATAAACAAACAGTCTGCTCAAAGGCAATACAGTAAACAGCTTGTGAGCCCTGGGGGATTTTTTTAAAAAGTTGCAACAGTAGAAGCAGCCTGAATGGATGGGGTCAAGCTCCCACAGAACCAGGATTTTTAGTTTTAACTTTGTGCAGTTGCTGAGGTCTTGAAGCTGCATGAGAAAGCACTGATTCCTCTCTGTTACAGCTAAAATCTAAGGTTCTCTTCCTGCTGTTAGAACTGCGTGTGAGACAATCTAATTTACTGAATGTTCTTTGCCAAAAGGTGTGATTATTGGATGCTACTTTTTGGAATAATTAACTAGCAGTGGTCAATATATATCAGTTTGCCATGCATTTTGATAAGGTTACAGTTCAGTCAATTCTCTTTATTTTGTTTGTATTTTAACTGTAGTGTGAAAGTAAAGTGTGTTTTGCTTAAAGTTGATAGTTTGATCAATTGCATTGCATCTGGAATGCAATGCCTTATAGTTACCTTTAAAATAAGAAAACGTTAAGGTCTAGACTATCTTACTATATTTTGACGGATTTGGTCCGGTTCATAACACAGTGGAACACTGTATACTGGAGTCGTATGTTGGGACCATGCAGCTGCCCCCACACAGTTGGTCTAGGAAATTGAATTTTACCATGAACAACTTCTGTGCCTGAAACCCTCTCAAAAGAGTCTATTAAAGTTACAGGATTCAGAAACTTCATCTTATTAGTTACCAGGAAACGTCTGGCCATTACAAAACCTACTCGAAATCCTGGATGTATATCAAATCATCACTACACTCCCTCTGATCCTTTGCATCTCCAGACCCCCAACAATCAAACCGAGGCAAAACGCTCCCAGAAATGACACCTTACAGCCCCACCAGCCTGAAATGTCACCATTCCCCAACTAGAGCCAGGACCAATATCTCTCCTCCACCTGACAGTGGCCCACCTCAGTGATCTGACATTCCTTGAGAGACACATGCTTATGCAACCCACCCACTCCCCAAACAAGTCTGACAGATCCTGGACCTGAAAATGCATCAGACCAAGCTCCAACATAAACAGACACCCTCCAGTTTGAACAGACCCCAAGATAGCACAGAGGGTATCCACAGGTATGTTGGTAACTGTTAATCTGATCAGGGTTGCAAATAAAGTCAAATTGGAATATCTGGGCCAATGTAAAATGGAAAGGCATCACTGTTGATGATAATATTGCAGCACACATATTAAATTCTTACATAGTTACTCACAAGGACAAAAATGCTCCAGAAAGCCTTCAGCAATCAGAGCAAGCAACACTTATTCAATGTAAGAAATAAGCTTAAGGTCATAATTGTCATGTTAATAGAAGTGATTAGAATTTTTTACAACTATGCCTGATTTTTAATATTGCCTCTAACAGCTATTACAGTTAATATAGGTAGCTTACCTTGTTTTTTCCCACAAGTAGGATGTAATTTTCTGGTCATCTGTGCTTTTACTGCCATCCAATATCGTGCTGTCCACAGGAAGGGTCAGCTCTTTATCAGGACCAGAATCAGCCACTGGAGGTTTATTATTTTCTGGAAAAACAGATCAATGAAACAAACTTCAGCACTTAGAGAGTGGTGTATTATTTAGAATACTGCCTTTGTAAGATATTAAGCCAAGGTAACAATTCCATTACATTTCCAAATTTTAAAAAAAAACATGCAGGGGTTCTGGTATTCTGGTCAGTATGTGTTACCCAAGATCACTAAAATAAATTATCCATTGATTTGACTTCCTGCTGATTACGGAACCTTGAGAGCACAAATTACCCACTGTTTTTGCATAAAACATTAAATTAGATGTAATTGATTGGACCCAAAGACTGTCAAACATTCCAGGAATGCGAAAGGGACTACACAAATGTAAGTTTTTTTTCTAACTTGCTGTTAAATATACATAGAGTCATAGAGATGTGCAGCATTGGAACAGACCCTTCGATCCAACTCATCCATGCCAACCATATATTCTAAATTAATCTAATCCCATTTGCCAGCATTTGGTCCATATCCCTCTAAACCCTTACTATTCATATTCCCATCCAGATGCCTTTTAAAATGTTGTAATTATACCAACCTCCGGCTGTTCATTCTGCACACACACCACCCTCTGTGTCAAAACATTGCCCTCAGGTCCTTTTCAAAATATTTCCCCCTCACCTTAAACCTATGCCCTCCACTTTTGGACTCCCCCCCCACCATCGGGAAAAGACCTTGGCTATTCACCCTATCCATGCTTCTCCTGATTTTATAAACCTCTGTATGGTCACTCCTCAGCCTCCAACGCTCAAAGAAAAAAGCCCCAGCCTATTCAGCCTCTCCCTATGGTTCAAACCCTCCATTTCTGGCGACATTCTTGTAAATCTTTTCTGAACCCTTACAGGTTTCACAACATCCTTCCTATAGCAGGGAGACCAGAATTGAATGCCGTATTCCAAAAGTCGCCTAACCAATGTCCTGTACAGCCGAAACATGACCTCCCCATCCAATACTCAATGCACTCAGCAATAAAGGCAAGTGTACCAAAAGCCTTCTTCATTACCCTGTCCATCTGTGACTTCACTTTCAAAGAACTACAAATCTGAACTCCAAGGTCCCATTGTTCGGCAATACTCCCCAAGATTTTACCATTACCTGTGTCACTACATGTTTTTCATCTAAGAGCCTAACAACAATGTGATGATTCCTCTAATTTCTATCAAACAGACTGCTTAGCACCAGCTTACTTTTGTGGATTCTTGTATTGCTGCAGCATGATAAACAGAAGGGATTTTAAAATATAGGAAGAGGAAGTATTCTGTCATTTTTCTTCCACTCAAATTGCAAACATTCTCTTCATAAATGCATACCTGGTTGCACTATTACCATCACCTCAGCTGTGGCCTGGTGGCCTGCAGAGTCTGTGACTGTAAGTTGAAAGATGTAGTCACCTTCCTGCATTGCTGACAACTGGAGAGATGATGTTCGTACACCCTAAACAAAACAACAAAAAGTAAGAGGTAAAATGCACTGTGTATATTAAGCAGCCTTCCCTGCCTCAATATGTTACCTGATTCATAATGAACACACAGGTCTTGTCCTGGCTCCCTTCCCCCTCCCCATTTCTGAAGAACGGTCCCGACCCGAAACGTCAACTTTCCTGCTCCGCTGATGCTGCCTGGCCTGCTGTGTTCCTCCAGCTCCACACTGTGTTGTCTCTGACTCCAGCATCTGCAGTTCTTGCTATTTCTGAGTCACTTAGATTTCTTTCTCATTAATGAATAGCAGTCAAAGGCACAATGATAAGATTTTATCCATTGTCATTTCAGTGGAAGGAAGCCATGCGATTAAGATTTGCTAAATATGTACAAACAATACTGAAATATATTTCATCGCTTCATGAATCACAATCCATTCTTTTATTAACCAGGATGACTGTAGACTAGGAATTTTAGTAGTTATGGCTTTCTCCTTGCTAACTATAGTTTACAAGAATTCTTGTAAAGTCTTTGTTCCAGTCTTTATTCCATAAAAACTCGTGATCATTTGATTCCTCAAAATAGAATACTGTACATTTGGATATTGGCCAACAGTACAAAGGGATTCCTACCTGCATTTCAACAACTTTGCCTTTACTCTTTGGGCTTAGGGACCACTCATAGCTGACGATTCCATGGTCATCTGTGCTTTGGTTGCCATACAACATAATGGAGTTCTTGGGCAATGTGAGGACCTGATTTGCACCAGCATTGGCTACAGGTGGATAGTCTACTGCTTTGTGCACGGTGACAACTGCTGTGGTTGAGTTACTGGCACCATCAGAATCCACCACTGTCAGACTAAAGAGAAAAAGGGAAAAATAAAATGGACAAATCTTTCAAATATACTTCCGGGACTCAGAGGCAACTCCTAATTGAATGCGACAGATAACAAAGGACTGTAAAATACCAGTAAAAAGCTTTAAAAACACTACATTAGAAATCATTCATCTAGCTGAAAGCACATTATGCCAACATGCAGACATGCTGCACAATAGTATTCAAATAAACTAAACTCCTGGAAATAAAGTGATTCTATGCATCGAGCAGGAATTTTCCTAAAAAACAGCATGGGTCAAAATGAGGTTCTTCTAGCTTTTAAATAAAACTACATCATGGTGAAATTGACATGTGTATTGCAATTCAATTATATTCTTGTGACAACCAATTGCTGTTTATTTTGGGTAGTGTATTATCATTTTCCAAAAGATCACCTCTTCTAATTATCAAGCCTCAAATAATTTAAAGCAATTGACATTTAAAGCTACACAAAAGTGACCAAAATTACAGCCCATGGGCTGTGCTCCGACAATGTGGCCCATAGAACACCTGAGCTCTAAATCCACCTAATTCTTCCGTCACTGGTTTGTCCTCTTTTGAGGATCATGAGCCTAACTTGAGAAAGGGTGTCCTTGTGTCCAGTTGCGGAAGGTAGGCATGCAGGTGCAGCAGGCAGTAAAGAATGTAAATGGTCCGTTGGCCTTCATTTCAAGAGGTTAAGTACAGGAGCAGGGATGTGTTGTTGCAGTTAGACAGGGCTTTGGTGAGGCCACACCTAGAATAGTGTATGCAGTTTTGGTCTCCTTTTCGGAGGAAGGATGCTCTTGCTCTCAAGGGAGTGCAGCAAAGATGTACCACGCTGATTGCAGGGATGGTGGGTCTGACGTATGAGGAGAGATCGACTAGGCTGGGATTATTTTCGCTAGAGTTCAGACAAAGGAGGGGGGAAATCTCATCGACTTATAAAATTCTAACAGGACTGGGCAGGGTAGATGCAGGGAGGATGTTCCCGATCGTGGGTGTGTCCAGAACCAGGGGTCACAGTATGAGGCATTCGGGGTAGACTATTTAGGATGAAGATGAGGAGGCATTTCTTCACCCAAAGAGTGGTGAGCCTGTGGGATTCATTGCCACAGGAAATAGTTGATGCCAAAACATTGAATGTATTTGAGAGGCAGCTAGATATAGCACTTGAGGTGAATGGGATCAAAAGGTTGTGGGGAGAAGGTGGGATTAGGCTACTGAGTTGGGCAATCAGGCATGATCATGAAGAATGGCAGAGCAGGCATGAAGGGCCGAATGGCCTCCTTCTGGTCCTAATTTTCTATGTTCTTAAGACTTCTTTCATTGCTCGATAAATCTTAAACTAGAACACCAAGCTCCTACAATTTTTGTTATTTGAGATATATACACATATTAATGGAAGCATAGATTTAAACTACATACATGATCTGCAGAGGTTCATTTGTAGCCACCTAGGCAACCCAAACACAGTTTGGACATTTCTATTTCAGTAACGGGGGTAAAATGTATATCTAGAACAGCACACTAACTCAAAATTTTCTAAATACATCTGTTCTAATTGTCTCAGTGATTACATACAATTACAACAATTGAGACACAAACACATTCAAAATCTTGCCTCTGCACATTTTTTATCTCTCAAATCTTCATTTCAAACGGCAACATAAATTCCTGAGTCCAGATTTACAATCAAAACTGAGCATAGTGACTGATCATAGCACCAACTGAACACCCACAGCACTGAAACGGACATAACGTTGTGCCTGATGACTTTCTTGTGAATCATTTTACTAATTCGGAGGTGCTTTATCAATGAAACTATCTTGTCAATATTTGGTAGATAAATAGAATTCAAAGAACACTCCGCTGAAATTTGTCAAGTGATATGTACAGGAATCTGCAAAACTAAAGAGTAGATCAACTTCAGGAAGCAAGGAGGAGGACACACTCCTAACTACATCAATGGAGCTGAGGGGGAGATGGTCGAGACCGTCATGTTCCTAGGAGTGACGATCTGTCCTGGACCACCCATGTTGATGCAATGGTCAAGAAGGCACAACAACTCCTCTTGTTCCTCAGGAGGATAAAGAATTTTGGTGTGTCTATAAGGACCCTCACCAACTTTTACAGATGCACCATAGAAAGCATTCTATCTGGATGCATCACAGCTTGGTACGGCAAGTGCTCTACCCAGGATGGTAAGAAACTACAGGCAGTTGTGAACACAGCCCAGACCATCATATAAGCCAATCTTCGATCCATTGACTCCATCCACACTTCTCGTTGCCATGGAAAGGCAGCCAACATCAAAGACCCTCCCACCCTGGTTATAACTTCTTCCAACCTCTTAGGTCAGGCAGTAGGTACAAAAGCTTAAACGTATGCACCAACAGGTTCAAGAACACCTTCTTCCCCTCTGTTATTAGATTTCTGAATGGATCTTTCAAATTTCAAATCTAATGTTGATCTTGCTTTTTGTGCACCTTCTTTGCAGCCGTAACTTTGTATTCCTCGCTCTGTTCAATCACCCTATGATCTTTGTGTCTTTGTATGTTATGATCTGCTGTACTACATGCAAAACAAATCTTTTCACTGTACTTCGTTACATGTGACAATAATAAATCAAATCAAGTGGGGCTTCAACTTTTCAACATATGTATCAGGGAATCAGATGAAAGGATAGATAGTTAGTACATGATGCTAACTGGATATCCATGTTTGGAAGCACAGCAACTTATGGAAATGGGGGCAGGAAATTAAAAAGGAACACTTAGAAAGTGGGAAATACCATGGCAGATAAGTTCAACATGGTCCAATGTTTTTCTTAGAATTACAAGATGACAAAAATCATAGTATTAAGAGACAACAAATTGCAAAAAAGCAAGGTGATTTGAGTTTCCAGGTACGGGTATACAAATTGCCAACAGGTTCACAGGTACAAAGAAACACTGATAACAACAAATGGTTAATGGAATATTGGTCTTAGAACATACAGTACAGATTTATTAGAATTAAAGAGTCAAAGAATTATATGAGACCAGGCTGTGTGCACACGGTTTCATGAATTAGGGTGGTGAATGGGTAAGGTTATCAAGGTCCTTAAATGATACAAGGATTCCAAAGGATATAAACAAATTGCATCTAATGTAATGAAGTTACAACACGGACCTGGGTTACTTCTTTACCGAAGAAAACAAAATGTGGTCTTGCACTTTCATTACCATTAAGAAACAGTATCAGAAGCAAAGTTCTTTTGAAAGTGCAGCCTGATGATTAAAACATGAGTAAAGGTTCAGACAGATTGTTAATGTTTGTGGATAAAATTTATCAAAAATAAAAACAGATCATTGACTGATTATGAGATTTGGTCAGATTTTGACAAATTTAGAAATACTGAGGATGGTACTATGGAAAAGTACAGAATGAAATGCAGCAAACTCGATGAAAGATGCAGAAATTTCATTTGGAAATTTCCCAATCTGTGCTAGTATTTAACATGCTGGACAGACCTCCAGTTTGACTGGAGCAGCTGGAACAAATGTTAAAGCACTAAAAATTCATTGGAAAGTATTCTGCTCCAGCAGCACTCAACATACAAAGGGGGCAATTATTAATATGACAGAAAATAGAGGGCACATTGTTAACAAATTGGCAAAACCTCCTGGTTAAAGGTCACAGGTGACAATATAAAAGGAGAACAGCATCTAATAGAAATGGACAGAAATGCCGTTGATAAATTTGAGAAGCAATGAGAATTTGGAATTAAGATGAATGAATCCCAGAAATGCTCAGGGTGCCGTCAATTTATGTTTCAGGTGCAATTCAAAGTGCCATTATACCACGAGTGTCCCAGACGGCATAACAGAGTATTCCAAACTAAACAAGAAACTAAGGTTTTAATGGTGGAAGACGGCAATACAGACCAAAGAGAGGGCAATGTATTGGTCACAAGAGGTTTCAATTCAGTGATGAATATGCTGGTGGCATAGCCTTTCAACTGTGCAGTATTAGATGGTGGATGCAGGTCTACAATGTGTAGAATAGTCTAGTTAAAATGCTGGCTCAACTTAGAGTAATAAAGATCAAAGAAAGTTAAGGAATGAGAGTTCTATTAGTTCCACATTTGGAAAGGATAGCACACTAAAATCTTTGAAACCAAGAATTTGGTAATTCCTTGTAAAATCAATTATTTTATTAGCATGAATATAACATTCAGTGAAATATCCTTGTTATTCATTTGGTCATTAATGATAAAAGCACAGCTAGAACTAGATATGGAAGTCAGCAAAGCTACTATATTTGGAAAATCTGTGAATGTGCAATTTACACAATTAGGACACGTTCGCATTCCTTTAATGGGACATAGTTAATTTCTTTCGTGATGTGGTTAAGTGTTGTTGACATCAGTAGATAGAAAGCAAGATGACAAAAAGTAAATTGTGATAAAATTAGACAGGCAGTTTGCCCATCCATCCTCTAAAAAGGTTAAAAACATGAGCAAAACATGCAGGAATAAGGGACGGGAGTGGGATAAGCTCTTGGAAGTGTGAAGTGATAGATGTGAGATTTGTCAGAAATATTGAAGGATACCATTGTAGCCTATAGTAAGTCTGCCTTTAGCAGAAGATTTCCCTTAAGTATTGGCTACGGATTTAAAGGCATGGGATAAAAATGTCCATTTTAGATTTTTTTTTTTTAAAAGATTCAGCAACCAGTTTGTCCGTCAACAAGAATTTATAGTGAAGAAAATAATTGTAGATGAAGTAATGGAAAAGTGGATAGGGTGGAGAAGTGAAACATTAATGAAATGTCTTAGCTTTTTTTGGTTAATCGATGAATTTAGAGATGGAAATATGAATAGAAGAGTTACGGCATTCATTTCAAGAGAGCAAGAATACAAGAGCAGAGGTAGACTGCTGAGATTGTAAAAAGCTCTGGTCAGACTTAATTTGGAATATGGTGAGCAGTTTTGGCCTTCTTATCTAAGGATGTGCTG